ATGCAGAAATTCTAAAATTAAAAATATGAAACCGTAATTTATGAAATAAAGAACAATTATGATCTAAAGGGTACCAAAATTTACGAAAAAAAAGTTTAATATTTATTTGTTTACTTTATTAAACATTTCTTTCAATGTAAGTTGTTTAAGTTGCTTCGTTTTATGTGATAATACTTTCTCTTTAATTCTATAAACAGACATAATTTCTTGTTCAGTTACAAAGTTCCACTGTTCAAGTCCTGTAATTGATGAGTTAAGAATACCGACTAACTTGTCAATCGAAATTTTTTCATTTTCACTAACCTCTCTGTCACCTTCTTCATGTCTTTATCCATTTTTTGCAGCAATTCCACTTTTTGTTTGATGGACATCGAAACATACTTTCGTTTTGTAGATCCTTTGGGAGCTCCAGCATCGGAAATTCTATTTGACAAAATCGAAAGTTCCAACTTACTTTTATAAAATTGCTCTTACAGTCTGCAAAAAATAATAAGCAGGGTCCAATTCGAAGATTAAGGAACAATGCAATCATCAGCATTAACTGAAATAGATAATTACATAATTTTAGCTTATACCATCTGTTATACATAAAACGCGCACTCGAAAACGTATTCTGCGCTTGCGCACATGCATATGCGCAGTCATAAAGGTCTTGCGCGTACGCATAAACGCCTATGCACATGTGTCGACGTGGCGCATGCGCAGAAAGTTTTTAGCTTTGAGGTCCGGATTATTGATCATTCCGGATTATGGGTGTCCGAATTAACGACTTTTGACTGTATATTAATTTTTTGGGGATAGCTTTAGTAGCTTATATGTAAATCCTGCACTGGAAGCACTAGCATAGTAGTAATAATAAATTTTATATATTAATGAAAACAAAACTATTAATTTTCAAAGGATGAAAAGTGCAATTTAATATTTTAAATAAAAATTAGAAATAAATACCTTTTATTAATTAATTTTTTAAAATTTGCTCTTTTATTTATATATTTTCTATAGCACAGAAATAAGCTATATGTAATTGAGGAAAGATATATTAAGATTTTTTTTTTTTTTTTTTTTTTTGCAAATCAAGTGACAGATGTACAAAGATTTAAACATCCTTTTAAGAGATTTAAACATTCATAATTATATCACTGTTATACTTATTATATACAGTCAACAGTCGTTAATCCGGACTCGTCGGGACTTCGGCGATTCCGGATTATCGATTTTTCCGGATTATAGATCATCAGCTTAAATCTCGTAAGATGGCATGCAGAAATTCTAAAATTAAAAATATGAAACCGTAATTTATGAAATAAAGAACAATTATGATCTAAAGGGTACCAAAATTTACGAAAAAAAAGTTTAATATTTATTTGTTTACTTTATTAAACATTTCTTTCAATGTAAGTTGTTTAAGTTGCTTCGTTTTATGTGATAATACTTTCTCTTTAATTCTATAAACAGACATAATTTCTTGTTCAGTTACAAAGTTCCACTGTTCAAGTCCTGTAATTGATGAGTTAAGAATACCGACTAACTTGTCAATCGAAATTTTTTCATTTTCACTAACCTCTCTGTCACCTTCTTCATGTCTTTATCCATTTTTTGCAGCAATTCCACTTTTTGTTTGATGGACATCGAAACATACTTTCGTTTTGTAGATCCTTTGGGAGCTCCGGCATCGGAAATTCTATTTGACATAATCGAAAGTTCAAGTTTACTTTTATAAAATTGCTCTTACAGTCTGCAAAAAGTAATAAGCCACATCCAGTTTGAAGATTAAGGAACAACGCAATCATCAACATTAACTGAAATAGATAATTAGATAATTTTAGCTTATACCATCCGTTATACATAAAACATGCACGTGAAAACGTATTCTGCGCTTGCGCACACGCATATGCGCAGTCATAAAGGTCTTATGCGCACGCATAAACGCCTATGCGCATGTGTCAACGCGGCGCATGCGCAAAAAGTTTTTAGCTTTGAGTTCCGGATTATAGATCATTCCGGATTATGGATGTCCAATTTAACGACTTTTGACTGTATATCCTTCTCTTCTGTTTTGATCCGTCATAATTATTATTTTCAGAATAAAGAAATTTCTTGAATTGCATGAGCCTTTTACCATTTTTCTTGGTTTATCGTACTTTTATGATAATTTTCCTCCCTTCAGGAGCATTCATGGTGTCTTCTTCTAGAGCTTTTGTACTAGATATAGTAGTAATTTGTAAATTATTTATGTTGTAGTGCATTTACCATCAGATCTAATACTTTTTCTTCTAATCATAACAGTAAAAACTGGATGAGAGATTTAGATATATACATTTATGTTTCATATCGAGTGTAGTGGCAAATTGGCAAATTGGCATGGTTTAGCAAATTAAACAAGGAATATTTTCTCTTAACATATTCACCCCACCATAAGTAGTAAATCTAAACTTGAATTACTTTAGGATGAATATCTCTGTGCTTCATTTTGTAATTTCATCAGTAGGAAATAAAATTAAAAATGAGAACTAACTGTTTTACGAAATCCTAATGTGTTACAAATAACACTGACAAAAAGGTAAATCAAGTCAGCAGTGCTCAGTTTTTAGATACATTGTGTATTTAGGTTTGCATATGGAAGCTTTTCTGAGATGTGTTTACGCAAAAAGGAACCAGGCAAAGCATTAAGATGAAATACTTGTCCATTTATTTTTAATTATTAGCTATATTTTTAAAAGAATAAATTTTAAAGCTCCTGCATAAAAAAATTTAGTAATGCTGAATTTTGAAGTGTGCAGATCAAACTGTGTTTACGTTATACTGCCTCTTGCTTTGAATTTCCCATATTTCATTGAATAAAATAGCTGTGAGGATCTTGATAGAGATGGCATTTATTGCAGCTTATGTAGAACCCTGCAAAAATCAAGAATTCATTTTCTTTTTTTAAACTTGTTGTAAGAGAGGAAATTGTTTCTAATTTAGTAATATTAATTAAAGCTCTATTATGCCTTCTTTTTTCATCAGCAGCAGGTAAAAGAATATTTTCAGCACTCACAATAAATAGCAGTAAAAAAAAAAAAAAAATTGCCTAAAAATTTCTTTCAAGAATAACTCCTTTTGACAGAAGAAAAAATAAAACTTTCATCAGCAACAGATTTTATCATTTCTTAACTATATATTAATTTAACAAAATATGCTTAAAATAGTGAAAAAAATATTTCCAGCGCTTTTCTTGTATTGTCTTTCTTGTTGATCTGCTATCCAAAAGTAACAGAAAAATGAAAATTTAATAATTCACATGATGCAGTTTTTATAGAAATGTGCAGAAAGACATAGGAGTTTTTTAATAATGAAAAGTTTTATTTCTTGAATCATTACATATTTCACTGACAGGTGGTACTTCAATTGTAGCAGAAATTTATCTAGGGCAGAAATACCTAGACAGCACACCAAAAGTTAACAAGTGGTTTTACAGGTGTTGTGCCATCACTCTTACTGAGCAGCTTCATCCCAGTTTTGATGGAGAATGCTTCTTGAGATAGATCCGAGAATCTCCCATCTTCCATAAATATTACCAAATTGCTCGAGAGTCCTTTCAACTCTCGAGTATTTTAAGTGACTGTATGCCTTGCAGATACCATATACTTAGAAACATCTAAGCTTTCTATGAGATTTGGATTTGGCTTAATAATACAGCAGTCAGCATCACTAATCACCAAGCTGATCAAGGTGATAAAAGTTTGTGCAATAGCTCAGCATAGTTTGCAAAATAGCTAGGGTTACAACTTTTCAGGATGATGGCCATCAGACAAAAAAATGACACTGTGCACAGAATTATAAAAGGCTCTGCTATAATTTTTGTTATAAAGACATTATTTACCATAAGGGTAAAAAATGTCTTTCACTATGACAAATAATATAAACTGACCCTGTACACCAATGACATAAAGTAGCCCCATTATAAAAAATCACAAGGTACTATAGGGTATGAAGACCATAGGAGCCATTTGAGAGAGAAATGGCAACTAAGAACATGTTATCATCAGATGTGGATTACAGCATTTTACAATAAATGTGTCCTCTGTACAGCCTGCTGGGCAGGACCTGTATGGAGGCATTCCTCTTGTATCACTGTTACACTATGAAGCACTTACTTTTCTGGAGCGATGCTATCTCTTAAAAGTGCTATGCTCAGCTGCAATGGAAACAGCTCAAAGGGTACCACTGCCAACTTGCTGAAGGAAAGAAAGGGCTTATAATGGATGACTGAGAGAACACACAGCACACTGTCATCTTTGGTGAAAGCACACAATTTCCACAATTGTGTGTGAATTCTCTATCACCCAAATATGCCAGTTAAGTGCATTTGCTTTTCTATTAAGGAAAAAATTGTGCACTATCAGTCCACAGGATGTTTGTCAGCCAGTCCATATTGTTTTACTTTTGCTCGTGCTATTTGCTAATGCATCACATCTCAAAATCCATTAGTTTCAGCTCTTATAAGTGTTGCATTTTGTAAAGATACATCTTAAAAATGAACTTGACTGATCATCACACAGTCTCAAGTAAAATGCCAATTCTGTGGCATTGCTATACCCTGCCAGTGGAAAACGTAATTATTCTGGCTATAAAATTTTCATTATTAAAAAAATTCTCATAGTTTTCTGTGAAAATTGCATTGTGCAATTATATGTACTTATCAAATGTTTGGATTATTTTTTCTGTTGTTTTTGGATCATCTCTTATCAACAGGGTAAGATTTTTACATTTTTCTGTCACCAACCCTCTGATGAAGATGTCATGGAAAATGTAAAAACATAATTGGTTTTATGATTCTTTGTCTTTTTTTTTTTTTTAATTTAATTTGTAAATTATCACTTTTCTGCAATAGTTTATTCATTTGTCTTTTAAATCTTATGTTGCTATTTTGATGGAATATGATTAAAAATTTTCTCTCTTTATTATATATATTAAGTTATAAATAATTATGAATAAATTGTTGTTGCTTTAATATTTAGGTGATAATTTTGGCAGTGGCACTGCCACTGACCTTTTTGTATTTGATCGAAGCCGAACTAAGTTTCAGATATGGAAGAAAAGGAAAATGACACAGGTATGTATACTTTAATATTTTTTCAATTAGATATTTTTGTATCTATTATATTTCTTTAGGTTACATATATTATATTTATATTCACTGTCCATGTATTTAATTAAAATACCTTTGGTAATTTTTATAGCAAATCTTATGAATTTCAGATAGTTTTAAACTTACCAAATACGTCTATTTTATCTTCTCTAAGCAATAAAATTAAAGAATTCAATGTAAGGCATTATTTTAAAATGATAATATTTATATATGAAATAATTAGTTTTTTTGTTTTGTTTTATCATGCTCATGCACAATGTAAAAAGGGAAAGGAAAATAGGTTATCATATATTAAGAAGTTTGTCAAGTGAATTATTCTTGGTGCAACTGAAAAAGTGTGGCAAGATAAATTTTTGAATTTCTTCATAAATTTCACATGGAATTTTACAAAATTTAATATTTAGGCATAATTTGATTCGCAGAATCAAAATAATGAAAAAATTGGCATGTCATTTCAGGAAAAGACAGATTTTAAGTCAAAATATGTATATTAGAACAATGCTATATGCATATGTAAATGTAATGATATAAGAAACTCGATATAAATTTCATCAATCAGCCCAGTAGAATGGGAGATATAGAACTGTCTCATTTTTTTCGCAGTGTACACGTTTCAAAGTATTTGGATATTACCTGAAACAAGCATGTATTTTTACTAAATTATGCTGCACAAATGGAATTTGAATTTTTTTGACAAGTATATTAAAGAACTTTTCTGATTTTTTAGCAAAGTGTAAAACATTATAAACAAATGAAATGCTATGATCTAAAACAAACGGTAGGTAACTGCTGCTTACAGGGCCGACACTAGTCATTTTACCCCTCCCCCTCACTCGATGCAATCTTTGCAGATCCTAAATACTACTGCTCAGTGCATCCTTAAATTCTAGAGATTTAGCTACTTCTAAATTATGCTGCTTAATGCCTTTCGTTAATTCTGAAAATTTTACCCATCAGTGCTAATATTTTGCCGCCCATAAATTCTACTGCCCAGAATGGCCACATTGGCTCTGCTGCCAGTTCTGCTGACTTATATTCAGAAGTTAATATTTACAGTTTTAATACATAGTGAAAATATGAATGTCAGATCTACTTCAGATTTCATACTATTAGACAATCCACAAGCTATTTGATTTTAGCGAATTTTTATATCTCTAACTTTATCACAAATTCAATTTCTGTGAATAAATTACAAAGTTGTAAACAAGATGGTTTGCTCTAATCGCAAGCGTTGCGACATTTGGAAAAAATTTTTCAAAAATTATTGATTAATCAGGGATAAAAATGTCTGATTTTTATTCAGTAATAAAATTTTTATTTTATATTATTTCTTATATATTTATATGTATATAAATATTTCACATCAGAATCTTTCTGGAAATTGTTTTGATTAAGAGCAAAGAAAGGGTTCACAATGAAGCCACATGCTAAGTATTTTATTACTTGATCTTTCATTCACTTGCTTAAACAACATGGAAATGTGCCAACAAATTCCTTAGCCAAGGTTCAACTGTTGCCAAGTCTAACCCCCTGAAACATCAGCCCTATTTACTGGGAAAAACAGGAACTTCTTGTTCTATTTGTGGTCTTAGGGGATTTCAGCGCTTAGCAATTGGAAGTCGCAGATATTTATTTATGTGTGGCTATACACTGTAAATGCTTTGAGAAAGTGATAACAAAATGTTTGAATGCAGCACAAGGGGCAATTATTTTTGATTAAATTTTGGAAGTTATTGAAAAAAAATTAAGCTCTCTTTGAGCAACATTTTAGCACATTTTTTTTTACTGTTAGTTTCATCCATTTATTTGTCAATAGAAATATATTTAGCTAGTAAAGTTTTTAAAATTAAGTCATAAAATTTAAAACCCTAATACACATTTTTTGTTGGGGCACAGTCAAATTTATTGTTATTCTTTTGCATATTTGTACATATTTCCTTCTTCTTATGCTATATGTTTAATATAAAAATGAGGTTGGAATATGAGAGCTAGAAATGTTGTTTGATTTTAAGAAATGACAGTAGCAAGCAAATTGCCTTTGAGTAGCTGAGTTTGTCAAATTGCAAAACTTCATTGTTTTTGATTTATTACTTAGAAAATTCTGATTCTAAAAATTTATTTTTGAATGATTGTTACTTAGAAAATTAGCTTTTGATTAATTATTTAGAAACATATTTCTTATTGTCTTATTAAAATAGTAAATTTAAATTACAATATCATTATAATGCATTAAGTTAATAATAACTTATATATTTTTCATGTAATATTTCCTTCCACAATCCTTTAACCCATTCACACTGCAATAATTTTGTGTGTATTAAATTTTGTGTATATTATGGACAAAATGCATTAAATAATTTTCTGCAACATCAAGATTGTGCTGTGTAGAAATAAATGAAGAAACATTTGAAAATTGATTGGAAGATACAATAGTAAAAAGAGAAAAATAACATTAATATTTACTATTTTGTTAGAAACTCTATGGAATGTAAAGCCACCAAACACTGTTCACATTATTTAGATGACTTCTATTCTTTTTCTATGTTTTGAATGAAAGGTTTATGCATAAGACATCAGTGTACTTATGCACACTAAAGGTTTTATGTATAAATCTGTGCATCTTAAGAAATATCCTAAAATGTTTACAAAGTTTTGTATGATATTTAACATGTTGTATAGATAGGATATGCGTGAAGAAGTGTAAGAGTCCATGGTTAGCAATGATAATGTGTATTCTGTGATTTTGTTTCTTTGGGAATGATACTTCTTGTGTGGAATGGTTAATAAAATTTTTCTTCAACATTGTATTGAAAATGATTGAAATTGACCTTTTAAGTTGGGTATAATTTTGTGATATAATATGCATATGTTGATAAGCACTATATCTTGTAAGTAAGCAAATATTTTACATTATTATTTTCAATGGCTTCTGAGGCATAAATAAAATCATCATTGCTTTTGTCTCGATACTCTTCAAAATTATTTCTATGTTTGCTCATACCTAAGTTCAAAGGAAATTATTTTGTAATTATATAAAATGGTAAAATAAAATCAATTGCTATTGCACATCATGAATGAAACTGGATGTATGCAATCCTGCATACAAAGTGGTTACTACTCATGCATGAGTCTTATTCATAATACACTAGGAGTCTAACTTATTATGCATTTTGATTTGAATAATGCACTATAAATCTAACTTATCATTCTAGGTAGACATGTTAGTATCTTATGGGTGTGTATTCTGTGTAGATGATTTAACATATTCTGTGTAGATGGGGTAATATATTCTGTGTAGATGAGTTAATTAAAGTTAATGCAAAATACTCTGATGCAATTTTATTATTTTTATAAGTGTTTTTTTAAGTTAATACCTAGCCTTTTTCTCTAAAATTGAAGTTAGTACTTAGCCTTTTCTGTTTCTTTCTCTAAAATTCTTAAATTCTCTAAAAATTCTGAAGTGAATCTACAAACAGTTCAAGAAAGTTTGTAGATTCACTTCATCTTTTGATTCACATCATTTCTTTGTAGATTCACTTCATCTTTGTATCACTTCATCATTCTAGATTCACCTCGTCATTTCATATAAATTTATTTAATACTAAAAACTACCTGTCTGGCAAAATGATGGATTTTTCTCTTTGGCTGACATGATGCTCAGTAATTGTTGATTTTTTTTAATCCAATGGTGGCCACTTGCTTAGTCAGCATTGGCCACTCCTAAGGACAGAAGTAGTGACCATTCTATTGTGGAGGCACCTAATAGGTGGCCACCATTACCTCCTATGAAGAGCCGGACAGTTACAACCATGCCTTCTCCAGGATTCGAACCTGGGCCCTTAGGTACTGCAGTAAGCTCCACTAACCACTATACCATCTAGGCTACCATTTATTATTGATAGTCTTTTTATTTATGATAATTTTTCATAAATGAGAAAATTCAAGTTAGAAATTTTTTTAATTCCATTTCATTACTGTAACATTTCAAGGATTTGATTTTCAAATTACTGTAGAATTATTGCAAAGTATAAAATTAAGCTGTTTGCCTATTTAATAAAATTTTGATATTTATGTATTCAATGAAGTGAATTATTAATTGGTATGGTTGCATTTCATGTTTCTGAAAGAAAAATATTAAATCCAGTTTTGCTCATATTATTATATATTTGAGTTATTAATGCTAGATAAAAAATCTTGATGACTATAGAACTTTTTACATCAACATGCATATTCATGAACATAGTTTTTCTGTTTAACATGAAGTGACAACTATTTTAAATTTTATGAATAACTTTTTTGAATAAATGTATGTAATGAATTAAGATACTTTAAAAATTCAGTAATGAATCTTTTTTTTTTCCTATTAGCAGGATCAAATGATTATATCTTATTTAATATTAAGACATATTTAATTTTTTTTTAAAAATTAAAGCATATACATTTATTAAAATGTATATCCTTTAATTTTATTTTTAAGTTAATTTATTTTAAAGAAATATAATCTTAATAATTCCCAACAATAGCTTTTATTTTAGCTTATAAAATATCAAAGATTATTAAGCATCATAGATTGACAGTTTAGTTAAAATACTTATCTGGAATTCTAATTATCCTCACCTCAGCTCTTTCTTAATTGCTCGGTGTTTAAGTCGGTAGAATTTAGCATTCAGTACCCTAAACATTGCTTTTTGGAAATGTGAAATCATGATTTTTACACATATTTTTTATGATACAGCATCCAGGTTGTCAATTATTTTAATCGGATGATTAAAATGGGATTTAAATACAGATTTAAATTAGTGAATTAAAAAAAAGTATTGACTTAAATAAGTTATTCTTCCATTTTTTTAAGTGGTAGATATTGTGTTAAAGCCAAAGATTAAAGCAATCTTGATGTTCTAAAAGTGATTTTAATTACTGAATACAAAAAATAGAAGCTTTTCAAGGAGATAAATTCTTTAAAA